ATAAGTATACATGTAGAGACTCATACATGTGTAGAACTTCTAAACAGTTTATGAGAACCGATTATATAAGCATGATGAAATGAACAGCTACATTGAAAAAAAAGAGACACTAAGGTACCCAATGATGATTCTGTAGCATCATGATGTGAAATCCAGCAATACTATTATTCTTTGTTCAGAGTGATTTTAGTCTTGTTTTGTTTTGTCTAATTTCAATATACGTGAAGGTATGGGCAGCTTTTTTGAAGAGAAAGATATTATGGCAGCCATTGTTGATTTCCCTATTGTCTGGTCTTAAAGACCTAAAATGCCTTCATCATCCTGTTATGATCAGTTTTATACTACTTTGTTTTATATGAATTCATTATGTGTGAAGATATGGACAACTATTTGGAAGAAAACAAGAGACAATGTGATAGACAGTGAAAATCTCCAATTGTCTTGCTTTGAAATCTGTGTCCCTTACATTGTTTTCTTATGATCTGTTTTGTTCTGTTTAATTTTACGCTCTTTAAAATAAAATTAAAATGGGGAGTGCCAGTCACAACAAGAAAGAGAAGCAAACGGGACCTGCAGACCAGGTGACCTAGACAGCTACAGTTCAGGGAAAATATTGTCCTGGGCCAACTTTTAATTTGTCTTTTTCCACTATCCACAGTAAAGTGAGATCCTGGAAAACAGAACAGAAAAACACCACAGAAAGCATAAAGGTGAACAGCACCAATGGGAAAAGCTGTGTGTTCTTGGAGTGGTGGCTACTCCACCCACCCTGCCAGCCTGTAGGAATATTATTCCTTCCTCATGACACTGAACAATGCCCTGATCTTTGCCAGGACATTCTCATAGCCCGAATTGTTACTCCTTGGGTGAAAGGTAAATTAGTATAACGGTATCCCTTGCCCAGAGGAAAAGATCCATGTCAGTAAAGTATCAGCGCTGTCTGCGCTGGGACCAAAGTTGTCTTCAGAATCTACCTGTTGCTACCTGCTATTTAGGTCTGAGAGGAAAATGCACAAATTTTCCCAGATAGAAATTCAATTTTCTGAAATTGCTATGATTATTCTGACCCAGATTTTGCCTACATGACTAAATTCACTTTGGGTACTATCCATTTTAAAGGTTATATTTTTATGTATTTAGTTTCTAACATGCAAATAAAAAGATTTGACGAACCATAAACGTAAGGCGTATCACACACAGAAGGTGGTGTTGGGTGTTTTAGCCTCTTCCTCCAAATGGAGCTGTCTGTAGTGTGTATGGGAGGTGTGTTTGGCTGTCAGGCAGGTCAACCCATTAGTCTGTGCCAGGCCCCTGCTGTCTCTGGGCTCAACTTTCTCCTCTCTAATGTGACAAGGAGAGGGGATGAAATTGTCACCAGCACTCCCTCGGGTCTGGCATTGGTGACTTCCGGCTCTTCTCCCAAGTCAAAATGACAGTGAAAGGTCACATTTTGAATCAATTCAGGTCATCAGGACAGCACAACTAATGACACTTAGGAAAGAGGACTTCCAGAGCTGCTTCAGAAAGTGACAAAAATGATGGGATGCCTGTCCAGAGTTGGTGAGAGGACTTGGAACAAAATGAATAGCAGTATGTCTTTTACTGTAATAAATAAAAAAATTAAACATTTACTCTATTTCCATCACACTTTTTGCATGTATCCATAGTGAAATGATTACTACAGGTATGCAATTGAGCATATCCATCATTTCTTGGGTTTTCTGCTGTTCCCCTGTCTCATTTAATTAGAGTAAGTTCCAGAAGTTTCCTCACCGTTTACTGCCCTCAAACACATCTGTGTTGTTTCCCCTGCTACCACTTCTTTGTGGGTGAGGGATTAAAACCCAGAAACAGATTCTGGATCTGTGTCTCATGCTTATGCCTTGGCAGCTGGAGGATCCTATTCAGGTCATGGTTTTGACCAATAGTTTCTCTCCTGCCTCCTCCATCCTGGGTCATTTTCAAAGCCTGCACACTGCAGTGCCTGAGGTGGGCGGCCCCCACTGTGGACCAGCATCTGAGAGTGGGGAAGCCTCAGGACAGCTGCTCAGTGTTGGGGCAGCCCTAACCCTTGCTGGTGACCCACATTCTTCCACCCTCCTCATAGTTAGGATCTAGGGTTGTGGTGATTGTTACAGATGGAATAGTGAAAGAGAAGGGAAGAATGTCCCCCCAAATTCATAGGTTGAGCACCTAGCCTCCAGCTTCACTGTATTTGGAGATAGGACTGGAGAGGGAGGTGGTAAAGGGTGAATGAAGTCCTGAGTGGGACCTTGGTCCAGTGGGTGTGGTGCTGTGATAGGAGGAGAAAGGACCGGGCACATTGTCGGAGCACTCCTGCAATCCAGCACTCAGGATGGCTGAGGCAGGACTACAAGTTTGAGTCCAGCATGGCAGCTTAGTGATAAAGTAGAGGGGAAGGTGAGCCTGGGGATGTAGCTCAGTGCAAGAGCTCTGTGTTCAATCCCCACCAAAAATAATAAAACTGGTGGAGGAAGACCAGAGCTCTCTTCATGAACACATCCACCAAGGAAAGACCATGAGAAAATATCCAGAAGCTGCCATCTACCAGTCAAAAGAGGGGCCCACACCAGGCCCTGCAGTGGATGCAGCAGCGATCGCGAGCATTTCAGAGGCAAGTGCCCAAATCCAAATCAAACCCACTTATACATCAGAGTGCCAACATTACTGTTAAACCTGAATCTCATGGTTTTAATTTAGGAGGAACAGCTTGTTCCTTACTCTTGTCTTAGAAGAGAAATGAATAACACATGTACCATAGATTTTTCCACCACTGGGGCTGTTGCTTTGACTTCTAGCCTCCAGAATTGTGAGAAATCCGAGTTTCTTACTGTTTAAGCCAAAATATTTAGTTATGGCAGCATTAATAGACTTAGCACGGAGCTGGGTGTGGTGGTACACTCCTGTAATCCCAGCACTCTTTAGGCTGAGGCAAGAGGATCGTTGCAAGTTTGAGACCACTTGGACTACAAAGTGAGCCCAAGGCCAACCTAAACTACATAGCAAGACCATATCTCAAAAAGACAAAAAATAAAAATAAAAGAATAAAAAGACTTAAGCACATTTTTAATGTTTCTGAGCAAATCCTCATTTCCTTATGCAGAAAATAATTGCATTTATTTTCTTCTTAAATTAGCCCAGACTTAGCACTGGGAAATGTTAACTTCCAATAAAACTCAAACTCCAGTCCACTCTCACACTGATTTCATTATTGTAGACAATCTCAAGTTATTTTTTGGAAAGAAAAACAAAGGAAGCTATGGAAGGAGGGAACATACCCCAAGGGATCTGTCCCACTATTTCCTGTCCCCCACCATGTCTGCCAATGGAACAGCATCACTCATGCCCGAGGGTGAACTTCTGACCTCCACCCTCTCTCCTCCTGCTTCTCTTTTCTCCCCTCTCTGCATTTCCCCTGACATCTCTCCACAGGCTCTCCTGCGTCTTCCACTTTGCCCTATTGCATTCCTTTGGGCGTGCTTAGTTCATGGTTCTATTTCTATGTTTTCTATTTCTATGCTTAAAACTGCCCTGAGTTCCCAGTACTCTTCAGATGAAATCTAAAGTCCCACTCTCATCACAGACCCCTCAAACTCACACTTTGCTCAGATTCATGCTCCTGTGATCCTGAACCTCTGAGTGGTTTCTGGTCCCTCAGCGATCAGGGTTCCTTCCTCTGCTGAGGATACTCTTCTCTCTTGCTCTGAGACTGATGTGATTCATTGTCCTTAAGGTCTTAGCTTCACTGGCCTTGCCATCTGCAAGCCTCCCATCTGTTCTGCCCTCCTGGGCCTGGTTACCACCTTACTCTTGCCACTTTGGCATTGCCCACCTTCCTAACCACCAGTGTTTCCTTACCCCTGGAAGCTCCCTGCAACCAGGGACTCTGCCTGGCCTCTGCTCCCAGCATCTGCGTTGCACGGCAGCATGGAGGAACTCTGTATGCAGTGAACAGCTGAGCCACCCACGCAGTCCCAGGAAATGCTGGCAGTCCAGCTTTGTCCAACTCTTTCACCTGACTTCTGGAACTGCATCCTTGTCAGATGATTCTGCTTGGGCCTGAGTTTACACTCACATTTTCTTTGCCTCTCTCTCACTCCAGACCATTCTTAGTGGGCCCAGGTCTGGGACAATCATGTCACATAGCCCACCTTGACTGCCTGCCATAGTTGAGCAGCTGAGGACCTTTCTGAGTCCCTGGGCTCACTGCTAGGTCTTGGATGAGTTTTTTCCCCAATGTGACACTGCTGGGGACTCTGCAGACGTGGGGAGGGATAGCACAGTCTCCCCTCTTACCAGTGATATGGGTTCTAGAGTACTGGACTGAAGCAGAACACAAGGCAGAAGGCAGTGGGCGAGGGCACCACATGTCGGGAAGAAGAAGTGTGAGCTTGGGCTTGCTGTCCTTTTGCTATGAGATCCCCAAATCTGTGCTTCCTTTGGTTCTTCGTCTTGTACGTAAAGATCACTTGTAGGCTCTTTCATTGAGTATCCTTGAATAGAAAGCCTGACCAGGCATGAAAGGAGAAAACGGTTTGTACAGTGCTGACCCCCACTTCCCCAGGATGTGTATCTCACCGTGCTGGGCCCTGTGACATCCCCTCTTCTGTGCACTGCACCTGAGTTCTAAGCCAACCTGGCCTAAGTGTCACAGGGTTACCAGGCGCCCTCGTGTGGCATAACCTCTGGTGTACAACCTTGCTCAGCTCTTTTAAGTGCCTGGGAAAGGTGACCATGCTCCACTCAGGTTTGTGTCCCCAGCAGGTGGAAAGGTCCCTTGCTTTACCTACTGAGAATGTTTTGTGTGTACTATGCCTCCATTGTTATCCATAAAAATAATGTTTAGTAAGTCCTTTAGTTCACACATTTTGGAGGCCTTGTTTTACATGGATACAGTTGACATTTCACAGGTTGAAACTGAGCAGAATGTGAAGGAGCCTGACAGCTGTGTTTGATTGCTTTATTTGTCTGCATTCTAGGTCTGGAGTTGAGACTCTGCCCCACAATGCCAAGGTTCACTACAATTACGCCAACTTCCTGAAGGACCAGGGCCGGAATAGGGAAGCCATCTATCACTACAGGACCGCACTCAAGTAAGCAAACTGGGTAGTGTGGCTGCTGTCCAAGGACCCAGTCCAGTGTGCTCCTCCCTTCCCAGGGCCAGAGAGGCTGGTTTCTCCTGACACTGAACACATCTTTGCAGTTGCAATAGTTCTGGACTCTTAAGTCTTCAGGCTCAGCATTCAAATCTGATGTAAAAGGGGAGGGTCTAACTTACTTCTCATGTGGCATTTGCATATAAAAGATTGATTGCTAGCTAGGTATATTACAAGCCTATAATCCCAATACTCTGGGAGGCTGAGGCAGGAAGATTGCAAGTTTGAGGCCAACTTGGGGCCAGTTTGTGACTTAGCAAGACCCTTCTCAAAATAGATAACAAAACAAAAAAGGGTTGAGGGTATACAGAGTCCCTGGGTTTAATCTACAGTACTTCCAAAAAACGTTTTCATTATGTAGTAAGGTCACATATATTCTAATATACATGTGCATACAGTTAGTTGTTTAAAATATACTGGGGGGAGGTATGGGAAGTTTATTCCAATGAATTGTCCGTGATACATACTAAAGGATTTCTGTGAAGATGTCCATGTGTAGAGATGAAATGCGCTGATGGCTGTATTAGACAGAGACACTCTCGATTACTATGTTGGGAGCTTGCTCATTGTGTGTGTCTGGGTGCATGTCTGTTTTCTGTCACTTCAAGCATTCTTCCACTGGAAGGGAAGATGCTGCATTTCCCCTTAGATATGGCTTAAGGGACAATTGCAATGCAGATTTTGTGCTCTCAGGAGCAGGAGTGGGTATACTATTGAATCACCCCACCTTTCCTGATGACTTTCCTCCAGAAGGTTGTAGATTATAAAAGTGTTTAACCTAACACAGAGAGACTACAGCGTGGATCTGACCCCAGAGGCCAGGGCTTGTTTAGTGGTAGTTTTGGGAGGTCGTGGGACCTTTGGGTCACTGAAGCTGTGCTGGAGGAGGGACTCAGCCTCCTGCTCTTCAGCTGTTTGGGTCCTGTCCTGTACCTCTGTTGTGATGTGCTGTCTCCTCATAGGCCCAAGCAGTGGGGCCAGTTGTGAACTGACATGCCTGATACCCAGAGCCAGGACACACATATCATTTTATATGTAGCTGGCTTGGGTCTTAGCACTGTGACGGAATGCTGACCAGCACACAGGACAGCCTGCGAGTCTACATGGGCAGAAGCAGAATGAAGCTACTCTTTTGTTGAATTCTGTCTTAGTTACTTCTCTCTCTTTGCTGAGACGAAATGCCCAACACCCAAAGTTAAAGGGAAAAAGATTTTGACTCACAGTTGTAGAGGTTTCAGTCTATAATCAGCTGGCTCCAAAGTAAAGTGGCTTTGCAGAGAACAGTCCCTGGTGGCAAAACTCTGGCAAAGCAACAAGCAGGGGCAACAGTTGATGGCAGAGAAGACAGCAAAAGCAATGAGAGAGCAAAGCCTCTTTCTGTCCCTTATGTTATATGCAGGCTACCCGCCCTAGGGCCAGTGTAGCGCTTACACCCCTAATCCCAGCACTGGACAAGTTTGCTGTCAAAAGCTTTTTCACATATTGTAAGAGAGGAGTGCCATAGGCATAACTGGAACCTAGATTAATGTTGAGCAGTAGCTTTTATTAAGAAGGAAAAGGTAGTTCTAAAAATTTAATAAGGAATTATATTATTTAATTGGCAGGAAGTTTCTAAAATGTTTACAGTGTTTCTCTCTGGTTAGTAAGAATATGGTTTGATTTTTTTCCTTTATAAATTTGTATGTGTTCCAGATGTTCCATAATGCTCTTGTGTGTTTTCGCAACAAGAAAATGTCACTTTTAAAGAGACATATCTTTTTCAGAGAATATGCAATGTGTGTTGTGGCTTTAATAATTAATCAGTGTTTATCAATTTTAGATGGTATTCTTGAAGAGAAGAATAGAGCAGTGAGTTTGTCTAAAAAAATACTGGTTGGAAGAAGTGTATTGGTATCCTTTAAATTTTGTTTATTATAATGATTTTCTGTCAAGTTCAAATGCAGAAATAAGGTAGACCCTAAGGCACAGCTTGGGGCAAAGGTATAAATTAAATGAGATTCCCTGGAAGTTGATGTTACAGAATTATAGTAGCTGGTTGGGTGTTTCCTCTTCTTGCCTGTGAAACAATGAAAGTGAATGTTCACCTCAGTACCGTGCTTCTGGAAGAAGTGTGCCCCTTGGGAAATAGGGTAAAACAATTAAAGCCATAAATGTACTATGTAGTCATCAGTGAGTTATTTCATGCTCTCAGGCCAGATTTGCAGCGCTTCTGATTTAAAATATTGTTGTTTTTGTGTGGATGCTCTGTGGTGAGTTTTCAGCGGATGTGGGTGTTTCTGTTTCTGTGTTTAAATAAATTGTCACTCTTTGTTTTGGAGAGAAAAGGAAAACACCAGGACTGTTCATCATTTTGAGGATTAATGCCTCTGTGCCTGGAAGATTGGCCTTATGTTGTAACCACCCTTTCTCTGAGGAAGTGGCCGGGTGGGTCAGCTATTCCTCTTTCTTGGGGTTGCTCCACCCCTGTTTAACTTGAGTGTGTCCCAGGCTTTCTGTGTCTGTACTCAGCAAGAGCCTGAGTGAGGAAATGGAAAGGTAAAGGCAGCATGATCTGACATCAGTTCCAGCAGTTGTCATTTTTCCATTCCAATGTATAAATCCCACAAATGCCCTAATGAAATTAATCATGAGAGTTATATCTCTTTTTATCTGGTTTGAAATTCTAAAAAATAATATAATGTTAAGTTGGTAACTACATACAACATAGTCTACTTTTGTAAAAATTTTTTCAAATAATGTGAAAATGCGACTGACTTCTCCCTTTTGGTGAACTTCATTTACTGAGCTTCTGTAGGGCTAGAAAAACTTTCCCTGGACAGTGCTGTAGCTAAGACTGTGTATTCAGGTCAGGACCCAAAACATTAAAGGAGCAGGACAGGGGCATTTCCTTACGTCCTCCACAGATGTGAGCGTCAGCTTCACTTGCCACAGGGATAGCTGTCGTGTCTGTACCCACTGCAGGACCACACATCAAGGCTGGCTTTCTCTGTGTTGGAGAATCAAAACCAGTGATGTGTCTGCTGCATGCCTCCAGAGCTTGCTGATCACTCTGCTCCCTGGGGGTGGTTTCTGATTCCACCCTTCATCATGGGAGTAGGATGTCCAGGACCACCCAGCAGTTCAGTTCTTCCCACACAACTGCCTCATCTAGTCGGTCCGAAAAACATGTGGAGGATACTGAGTATGTCCTTAGCCACACGTGTACTGTATTGTTACCTTAAAAAGACAGTTTAAAAGTACATGCTCTCAAGTGCGTACTTTATTTTACCCTCAAGTTTCAAATGTACATCCTATTAAAAAATCTTCCAGTGTCAAGCCAAGTCCCTTTCTTTGAGTGAGAATCTCCTGATTAGATTCTGTAATAACGAAATCCATAATTCACTGCCAAGATTAACAGTTTTGATGGTTTAAAGTAGAATAAAATGTAAGGGTACTGCCAAAGTGATCTGAGTGGATTCAGATTTTTCTAATTTCTCTCCACCGGTCTTGTTTAGTTTTATCATTTGCATCTAATTCAACAACAAGTTCAATAGCTTCCCATATTTTAGTGTTTTTTGTAGAAATAATTCTTTTCTCCCCCCACACTGTGACATAAACACTTGGGGTTTAAAGTATCTAAGGAATTCTTTAAATAGTAACTGAAGTACAGTGTAAATACAAAAAGCTGTCTATTTTAGAGACCCTAAATTACTCCTATCAAATGTGTATCTTCCTCTAGACCTATCTTCCCTTCCTGGACACCCCACAGGTGAGGCATGAACTTGTGATGATTAATTTTTATGTGTCAGTTCCTCAGGCCATGATATCTGGATTAATCTAGATGTTTCTGGTTCAGTATTTTTCAGATGAGATTCTCATTTGAGTAGACTTTGGCCAGATGTGGTGGTGCACACGTGTAATCCCATCAGCTCAGGAGGTTGAAGCAGGATGATTGAGCCCAGCCTGGGAAGTTCAGTAAGAGCATGTCTCAAAAAAGAAATAGGGGCTTGGGAAATAGCTCACTGTGAAGACCTTGGGTTCAGTCCACAGGGTCATGAAGAAAAGGAAGAGAGAGAGAACTTGAATGACATAGATTATTCTCTAATGCAGGTGAGGCTCACTGAGTCCTTCTCAGATTTCCTGACCCCCAGCAAGTCCCTAAGCCAATTCCTTCTAGTAAATTCCTCCTGCCCCCATCCCAGCCCCTTTTTCTGATGTTTGCCCCACAAAGGCTGATTTCTTGTTTGTTCTCAGGGTTCCATCATGTCCAGACTCACAGAGCTCTTATTTATAACATTTCTTTAGTCCTTGTCACTTCACCCAAAATGGCACTTTCCTATGCATGTTGAAATATTCCGTAGTTGCTATCACCTTTAAGCAGCTGAGGAAGACTCTGTGTTTGTTCCCTCCTCCTGCTGTCTAACTGGGCCCTTCCTCATCTCCTCCACTCTGAGTGGCAGAATGACCTGGAAAGCCAGCATCTCCTGCCCAGGGTCCCCTTACTGCTCCCCCAGCCATTGCCCTGGCCACCGGCACATCCATGCAGGTGAACCCAGCAGGCTCTGCCTGGGCATCCACTTCTCAGCAGCACTGGTGCCACTGCCCACTGCCTGCTCTGTAAAGTGGGTGTGTCTTTGTAGCTCCTTGTTCTCAACATGCCAGCACTGGTTTTCTCTAGGAAACCCTTACTGGAGCAGTCATCCTCCCTGCCCATCATTCCCTAGGCCTGCTTCTCTGCATCTTTTTCACTTCTTTCTGAAGGGTTCCTCCCCTTCCCAGAGCTTCTGAGAGCATCTGGACACTGATGAGCTCTCAGCTCTGTCATTACTCCTGTCCTGTCCCCTGGCTGTCACTGCTATCTGCCTGTGGCTTGCAGTGGCGTCTCACTGCAGCTCACACTGGCTGGTTTCCTGCTGCCCAGAGCTGTGCCATTCCATTGTGTTCCTTCTCTGCTTGAT